GTGTGTGTGTGTGTGTGTGTGTGTGTGTGTGTGTGTGTGTGTGTGTGTGTGTGTGTGTGTGTGTTTGCGGACCGGTCTGTATGCAAATGACATGTTAACTCATACTCACAGAAGACTGATGCTGCCGCACTGTGATCGAATCGTATATAAATATTACTATTAATCAATATCGTTTTATTAACAAGTTGAAATAGTGACACTATAGTTAATTCGCATGTTAAATTATTGAGTTAAATTGAAGTTAAATGAGTTAGCTAAGCAGCTCTCACAATGCAAAACATCACGAAGCGATCGCAGAATTACCGGACGTTCTTGTTTGTCTCGCAGCAGCGGTGGCGCCCACTACGACGGCGCGCACCAGAACTGCATCGACTGCGACATGGCGCGCCGACACGAGCACGGTGGCGCCCCCGCGCGGCCCAACGGGAGCATCGCGCGCGTTCGCTTCCACGAGGAGGCCGACGAGATCCCGACATCCCCGCCGGACCTCCTCCGCACCAGCGACCTCCACCTCGACCAGCGGCGCCACCCGGAGGACGACTCGTCGTCGCCGCGGCGGCACGGTGGCGCCCCCGAGCGGCGGCACAAGAAGCGGCGGCGCCACAAGTCGTCGCGCAAGCGCCGGAGCTCGTCGGCGGATCGGAGCGGCGACCAGAGCCCCCTGGAGGAGGACGCGGCAGCGTGGGAGGGCGGCGGCGGCGGCAGTCGCCGCGCGGACAGCGCGCAGACGCACGTGTTGACCAGCAGCGTGCCGAACAGTCCGCTGACCGGCGACCATCGCCGCGCGAACAGCCTCGACGCGGCGCGCGTGCACGCGCTCAACCTCCACCGGGGGGCGCCACTGCGGCACAGCCTCCCGCACGCGCACGCGCTCGGCGTCAACGCACACGCGCACCACCACCACGCCCACCACCACCTCCACCAGGTGGAGCCGGCGGCGACGCGGGGCGTGCCCGTACAGCTCGTGGCGCCCCCCGGCGGCGGCGCGGCGCCATGCGGCTGCGCGCCCTGCCCCGTCCACGGCATGCACTGCGCCCACGTCGGCGGCGCCAGCTTGCACGCGCTCGGCTACCACGATCACCAACAGGTGGCGTCGCTCGCCGCGGGAAACTTCTACCGGATACAGAACGGGAAGGTGGTGATGGTCCCGAAGGAGGATGAGTTTCGATCAAACATGGCGGCGGCGGCCATGGGTGGTCGCGCGCGCGGATGCTCTTCCTGGTTCCGCGGTCTCTTCATCACGATGTGGGTCATCATCGGCGTCGTCGTGTGTGTGTGTGTGTGTGTGTGTGTGTGTGTGTGTGCGTGTGTGTGTATGCGCGCGTGTGTGTGTGCAGGGGGAAATGACAACGATGACATGCGCGCGCGTTCAGACCAGAAAAAACGTTCTAATTTAGGGCAAACAACCCTATTCGCTGCAGCCAAGCAGGCAGCGATAAAAAAAACAGTCGCGCTTAGCGGCAGTGGCGGTAGAAAATTAGCAGTTATATTTTTAAATAGGCACTAGAAAGGTCACGGATAACTATCTCAGTGCGCATGCAATCAGTTATACTACACGTTACAGCGGACGCTGCCTGTAGTCAACTATATAGTGTTGTCAGACCAAACACGCGGACACATACGTATAGGAGTGGTATAGTCATAGAATAACAGGCATTTACGGTATGATTTCTAGTTATGTATACTTTTTGACATTACTGCCGGTTATTGGCATGTATTTACGGTGTATTTTAGAGTTAAATATGTGTATATATATATATATATCGAGGATTATTTTTACCATCGTGTTTCTCGTTCCAGATTCGCAGACATTCCTCTGACGTCATAAGAAAGCAGACGACGACGAACGACAAAACCACCACCACCACCAACAACAACAACAACAACAACAACAACAACAACGGCGACTACCACGACGACAACAACAACGACGACGACGACGACGACGACGACGACAACGGCCGTGACCGCGTGACGCGGCGTCGCTAGCGACGGCGTCTGCGCCGGCCGCCGTGACGTAACTCGCGGCGACCCCGGAGGCTCGGAATGCGCTCGCCGGCGGACGCGAGGCAGCCGTCGCCGTCGTCAAGGTCTCAAGGCCACAGCAAGGCATCGTCAAGGTCACCGGCGACCGACCGCGGCCAGCAGCCGTCGCCGCTGGGGCCCGTGCACTGGATACCGAGCATATTCTCGCCCGTGCTCGGCGAGGACGCCCACCCGGGCTCGAGCTATACCAGTTACGGGGCCCAGAGCGTCTACATGGCGCAGGAGCAGGCTATGGGACTCTACAGCGACGTCGACGACGATGACGATGGCGACGGCCGGAAGCGACCGCAGCGCCGCCTGCGCAGCGACGAGTTTTATCCTGTGCACCTAGGGGGCGGTCACAGGTCGCGCCGACTTAGCGGCGGCAGTACGGCGTCGTCGATCGGCGACGGTGGCGCCGCCCACGTGGTGCCGGAGCGAAACAGCAGCGGGCTGTCGAACGTGTCTGTGTCCAGTAGTCAGGAGTATGGGTAAGCGTAGCGTAGGAAGGTATTGCTTACAGGCACACGTGTGTGTGTGTGTGTGGTGTGTGCGTGTGCGTGCGTACGAGGGTGTGCATGTGTGTGTGTGTGTGTGTGGTTGTGTGTGTGTGTGTGTGTGTGTGTGTCTGTGTGTGTGA